TTCCTGCTGCTTTCCAGGGATGAAGGCCATGCTCAACGTTGAGCTCTCCTGGAAGGCCAATGTGCTGGTCCATTTGAGCTTTGGTTGAACTTTAATTCTGCTCCATTTCTTTCCCCTTCAGCCTCACTGTAGGTTATGTCTTTTTCCCTGATGGGAGGAAGGCTGGCATTGAGTGGTCCAATGCCTCGCTGACTGAGATGGCTGATGATGGTGTGATCAAGGATGAATATGGAGTCAGTTTTACTGCCGGTAAGCTAAATGTAGCCTGCCTATACCTGCCTTCAGCTTTTTGGCATGCAGTTAATTTAGTGGAGGCACAACTATTCAGTGAAATTCCATGTGATCCTCGGAGCAAATTTGGAAGCTAAATGCATCATCTTACACCCTGAGAAGTTTACTTCTGTGCTTAAGCTCAGTTGTATGTGTGGGGTGTCATCGGTGAAACGGTGTGTGTCCACTGCAGGATCAGGGCTACAGGCAGCTGTATCAGAGGGAGAGCTACAGTTTCTATTTGTCATGACTGTTGCTTATGCTAATCCAGATAAATGATGTGATTTTCACTTTTTGGGTGTCAAAATGTGTGTCTGGTGGATTCAGCTGCTCTGAAAATAGGGCTTGATCAAAGATTTTACTTAATTTACAAAGCAGTCAGGAAAACTATTGCTCTTTAGAAAAGCGTAAGAAGAAACCATATGCAAAAATCTTGGGATTTTTTGAGATAAAATACTACTGAAGGTTGGAGACATTCTTCCTTTTTTACTCTTATCGAAGGTGGCAAGTACTTTGATGTTTCTGCAACGCTGGATAAGCAGGCTTGCCCCGTGGTGTATAACGGCCTGACTGGAAGCGGCGTTTTTCACGAGTGCATTGCAGATTTCCGACTGAACGGGTTAACACAAGGCTGGGGCTTGGTTGAATTTTATTACAGGTAAAATAATGACAGGCAAGCAGAGGTAAAGAATTCCCATTCTCCTATATTGATTTATGTGGCTACAGCTCCATAGATATTTGAAGCATAAATGCACAGGTTTTTTATCTGATGTAAAGAAATGTTGTTCATTTAATGCTTAATGTGCTTATTAAATTGACAAACGTGATATATATTATTTGAAAAAGAATGATTGTGCAAGCACTTCATACATGCAGACAAACCATGGGCACTTGTTCAGTTGTTTGTTATATAGGTTTATGTAGGAGTTTATATAGACCTCCATATAGGTTTATGAGTCGGTGGACGGTCCATTCTGGAAACTGTCTTATTTGTGCTTCTCAGTGAAGTGCTGTTTCTCCTGCCACATGACTGTCACAGTCTTTTACTGGAGCCTTTTTCCTATTCAGTCTTTTCTCTCATGAAAAATGGCAAGTTTGGTTGTTTACATTTTGTTTGCTTTTTAAAATAAACACCAGTTCTTGGCTGTCAGAGGAAATGCCATAGGTGACTTTCAGAAGACAGAGCTCAGCCTCTTCTGAAAACCAGACACATTTAACGCACATACAATAGTCTGCTAAACCCCCAAACGCCTGCTGGTTGAACTTGAAAACCTTGGCCTGTAGCTGCTGCCAGCTATCTGCTCCACTCCCTTCGCTGGCTGTCAAAACCTGAATGGTGGAGGAAATGACCCAGCGTGGAAAGTCTCTGCTAAAACCCGAACAAGGCACCCTCTGCAAGTCCGGACAGTCCTGGACTTTTCTAGATCCGCCCCAGGAAGGCTTAATTTGGCAATGCTGACAAAATTCCCGTAGGCTCCCATCTCGTATCTGCTTCCAAATCAAAACAGTGTTAGAAATTAAAGGGTGGGTGTCTGGTTATTCCCCCTCGCCGCAGAACACCAACTCAGCATCGCTGCTCTTCTTACAGGGACGAAGCCTCCCAGCTGGTTCCGAATTTGCAGCTTGGTTCAAAAGCCGAAGGATCCGACCTTTCCTCGTGGCGCCCTGTGACCGACAGCTCGCCCCCGTGAGCGTTTGCAAGCTTGTCCCAGCGATGTTAGCAAGCAGCAGCTTTAAAAAAAACGTTATTCCCCGCAAAATGCAGAGTTTTGAGTGTGGGACTCATTGTCACAGGATGCCGCGGAGGTTGAGGGTATAAAAGGATTTGGAGAGAAATGAGATACATTTTAGTTGTGCAGCTCTTAGTGGTTGGTAATCATGGTGGTCTGGAGGCGATTTAAAGGAAACGTCTGAACAGCTGATTGCAGGAAAAGTGCACTAGGAGGGATCGCTCTACGCTCTGTCTTTTGGTAGTTTTTCTAAACTGGCAGCTGCTCCCCACCATGAAGACCAGGACTCTGGGCTAGGTGGATCTCTGACCCAATTTAGCAGTTCCTCTGTTCTTTCAGATTTTTTTTTTTTAAATAAAAGCTCTATCTTTCTGAACCCTCTGGTTGGTACAGTCATTAAAACATGGAGAAAAGCTATTACAGGAAACAACACTGGTTTGATAGTCTTGCCTGCGACTGTATGAGAGCTGAACTGGAAGATGTAGGAGAAAGCACATCTAAATGAGGTGTCCTCTAAGAATAGCATTAATGGCCAATGAAATAAGTAGTACGAACACATTTTTCCTTGTCTGAAGGAAAGCCAGGGTCTGGTAGTCCTATTTAGAAGACGTTCTCATCATTTGCTTGAACTTAGATGCAATATTAATCACAACATCCGTGTTAGTCACTCATAGCTGCTGGCCCAAGGTGCCCTACAGTGTATTCCCTACCTAGATGCATCTTGCCATTAAATACTGAAAATTAAACATACCTACCATATGTCAAGAAAAAACAGTTATGTGGAAGATCTGGACAGAAGGAATTAAGGAAACATGTCTCATTCTTTATACCAGGCAGCAACGCTATGCAACTGCTGGGAGCATCGTAAGGATATGTTACAATAGTACCTCTACCCCATTGAAGAAAGTAGTGAAATCTGGGTGCATATATATATTTTTATAATCTCTGCTTAGGTTGAAACTAGAGGAGACTTTAATAGACTTTAAAGAAGACTTTCTCCTTTTTGAGATAGTTCTTACACTGATTACTATAACAGCGTTATATGCAGAATAGGTGCATGAAGGTAAAATTATTCAGCCTATGTATATCACGGCAATGACTGCACGTTCAAATTCGGGATGCGTTACTGAACAAGGCTGGGATGATGCAAGCAACAGCCTGATATGATGTTACAGGCTGATTTTATCAGCAGTGTCTTCTGCAGCTATGCAGTAGGGTAGAGAGATTCCCACTCCCTCGTTTATAACATTGTCCCTATTCTGCATTTGTGCCTGTGAGCTGTACCCCATCAAACGCAGAGATTTGGGGTGCAAATGCCATGCCCCTCCTCGCACCCCAAACCACCAGCTGTATGTGCGAAGTGGACTTACGATTGCATTTCTTTTGGGATAGTCACTGATTCAGAGCTTTGGGTTTTAGCCGGACTTCTCCTATAAATACTTCTCTAGTTACAGCGGTATTACGCAACACATTCTTGTGAGTCTTGCACAAATTTAAAGATGTCTTAAATCTGTCTGTGTGCTGGAAGTCTCAATGCACCGAAACAGGGAGCCTCTAAATTACTCGAGACAATGGTACTTTGACAGAAGGGAAGGCCTTATGCCTCTTTTTACACATAAGAAATCAGTCAAATAGGTAATTTTAGAAAGGTTAGAAAAATAACTATGTTATACATCACAGTTTGTTCCTACTAAGTATGTGGCTTGTTTTGCTATGATCTCAGGAACATCTGTTCCTTTTTTCTGTGGAGTTTTTGTCATCTCTTTCCTTTTTTCTTCTTTTTTTTTTTTCCTTGAAGACTAAAACATTAACATTTAGAAGAAGGAATACAGGCATGTAATCAGGCAAGGTCTTTGGAGGTGTCAGAGAATGTAGATAATGAGAAAAATTGTTAATTATTACTCTAGAATGATAGACAAATTGCTGTAAAAAATTCCCTGTCCAGGTCAAAAATTAAAAATCCATCCCATCAAGGAAGATATTGGTCTGGCTGTTTCTGACTCGCAGAAACTGGGCTACAGCTAGGGATGCTGTGGGGCAAATGGCAGGTACCTCCCCCAACTCGCAGCCTCTGAAGTTCATGTTCCTGCAGTGGAGGAGGCAGAGGAGGATGACATAGCCTTCATCTCTCTCCTTTTGTCCTCTTTACTTGTTTCTTTTCGTACCAGCGGATGGAGAATTAGAGCACTCTGGAGTTCAGTTTGGAAAAGTTCAAGCAGGGTACAGAAAATGATTAATAAAGTTTTGAGCTGGCAGGTTTATTTGCCAGGTGATGAACTACTGGTACGGTATTTCAGCTTGAAGGACTGAAAAATTGACTGTTGGGGGTTTTCTCCCTGGATTTCAGATTAGTTTATAGTGAGCTTGTGTCCAGGACACATGGAATAACTTATTTAATTTAAAATAAATCTACCAAGCCCCACGCTTTGACCGTATGAAGTGGTCCTTCTCTTGCGGCTCCTTTCTCGGTGGAAAAATCCATCTTGGGAAGTGCTTCTGCAGCCCAAAAGCATTAATTTTGAGAAAAAAAAAGCAGTAAATGGAGGTAAGTCCTGGCCAGAAGTGAAATGTAGCATATGATCTGCTCTCGTCCAGCATGAAGGGAGGCAGCTGGAGCCTCGTCGGGATGAGCTGCTTTCCAGCATCTGCGTTTTGCGCGTCTGGGGGGAACTGAACACCTGTAA